GGTCAGGGTACACCAATTAGTCAGAAAACTAGTTAGATGAATTCATCATTATGCACTTCACTTAATCTTTTTGTCCTTATATAATAATTGCGAATCAATTGCTAAGCAGTGATAAATAATTTATCGATTACATACTTACAATTAGATGCCCTCGGGGGATCTCTCACATGCAGCCGCACGTTGTTCGTGATTTTAATTCATATTTTACGTCATTATTTTTTTTAATCGATTTCTATTATACATAGTATAGTAGTGCATATCATGCTAATCAATCTGTGAATAATCAATTTTAAAAGGGTTAATTCATTTGTAAGAAACAAAATGTGTTTTCAAAGGTAGATGAAAGGTGTTCACCGGTTTCTCTTCTTTTGTTCCTGTATATAACGCGGTAAATGTAAAAAAGAAAATAAAGAGGGAGGAAAGGAGAGAAATACCGACGTGCACCAAGGCAGGGTCTGTTTATTAAAGAGCATTAATCTGCGAATCTGTACCGGGTGTCCGGTGAAACTCGACTCTCGCTGAAACGATATTACTTAGCGCGTTTTCGTGATACCATTTTAATTGTGTTTTGTAATTAGCCCGGCCCGTAGACGAGCACCCCGTTGTTCTCGACTCTTCCGCAAGCGTTTTTCGCCTCTTGATTCTCCTCTTCACGTCACCCTCTGCCTCTCTTCCTGTTTCCCTGGATCCCTTCCGCCTCGTTTTCTCACGGGCCTCTCTCTGTCCCTCGTTGTCCATGTTTCTTTTTCCTCTCTGTTCTTGAGAACGATTCACGTAGCCCGGTGTGATACAACCTTTTGTAGGATTTTACCGCTTCATTCTGGCGAAACTCTCGTCGGAGCTTTCTTTTTATCGTTAAACTGTTAAATTAACTTAAGCTCAAGTTGACTTAAGTAAGTTACAAATGTATCACTATGAAAGCATGCAAGATTCAACTTCGTTTTGGTAAAGTGCTTGTTGGAAATGCCTTCCCGTCATTAAACTGTTAAATTAACTTAGATTTCAGTTTAACTTAATGGACGATGTAAAATCGTGAAATTAAGTGGATTCTAAGTAAATTTAGAAGTTCTTTTATACTGATATATTTTACTCATTCGAAAAATGGGTTCTTATTATAAGATCCTCCCCGGTCTTTTTATTCTGCAAATTTTAACTCGTAGCATCGAATGATTTTAATGTCGTAATTAATTAAACATTGTATTTGAATGGTTCGAACGACCATCATCTTATTGCTGACGATTAACATCGGAATCTGCGTACAGCTGGAGGCATCTAGCAACACGAGAAGCAAAACATACCGGAAAAAGCGCGGACAGCAGAGAGGATGGTTGACTTCGCGTGTATTTTCTTTCTTCCTTTTTACTCTTTCTTGTTCCCCCGCCTGCTGGTTAAACCGTTTTCTCTTCGAGGCTCTCACACAGTCTTCTGGTTCGGTGTACAAGGACAAGAGAAACCCACACAAGCAAGAGCATACACGCTCCTCTCGCACGGCAAAACTTAACAAAACAATTTGCTCCAAAGCAAACAACGGCATCCGGTTTACTTGTGAATAAACAACATATTTATTTTTAGAGGCCCCACGGCCGTAACTCGTTTGCTCGGCCGCTTGCACGAGCCCCGCGTCTATTTGCTGGCATTACACGACTTAACGGCCGGGAATAAAAATTGACGGGGCCACAAATATCCAGCCGTCCCTGTGCGCCGTGAAAATTGCTTGATTCTCATTTTTCTCTATTCATCGTTCAAACTTTCTACCATCTCGAACGAGCTTCGATGACTTCCGATGATAGCAAAATTTGTTTTTCAATTCGAAATCGATGTACGAAGAAATAACGTACGTAGATACTTTCTAAAGCATGAAGCGAACACTAATTGCGACAGTGACTGCATCACTCGGATGGATCGTTCGCCAGCAAGAATCAGAGTAAATATTAACGCCTGTTTTTCCAAGGTCTACCCGTGTAACGGTCTAACCATCGAAGGTGTATTTCCAAAAGACACGGACCGGCTTAAACCGTCGTCTGGTTGTTTAGCAACTCGTTACTTTGTTGTACCCTTCGTTTACATAACGAATTCTCGCGATTTTTAAATACCATCTTTTATTAATGCTTTCGGCAGTTACCGCTCAATGTTTACGCTGTTCATTAAAAGAGAAACTAGGATGACGATGTTTCTTTGTTTAAACGAAGAATGGTTGCGCAGTTTATCGAGAAACCTTGGTGAACATCTTGTGAGAATTGAAAATTTCAATTTTTGATTTAGTAAAAATTGCAAAAAGTGGTTGATCGTTGGATCGAGTGAGCGAGGGTTGCAATTAACAACGGATGTTGTTGGTATTCGTGTTTCAGGATTAGAGTTCTAACCGCGACCTAATTCCAAAGATAAGATAAGTCGTTAAGTGCACGGTGTGGCAGCCCCCTCGCGATACTACCCGGTGTTTTATTGCTACGCCCCACCCTCGTTGGCTCTTCTTCGGGGCTCGGTGAGATTTATTGTAAAATTCGATAGATATTGCCAATTACAACCCCCGCGGCGCTCCTCGCCCCGCCACGTGTTCTATCGACGGAGACAGGAGCCACCTTTTCTGGCTGCCTGGAGAATTTTAAATGCGTTTTATGTACAGAGACGAAGCGGTGCGTTGCATAAATCCATCCCCCTGAAAATATGATTACAATCACCGGAGTCTCGCGCCACGTCTCACCCTTCTCTCTCACCCTCATCCCCTTCAGACACGACCGACCGATAAAACGATTCATTTCGTTGGAGAGTGTCTTACGAGGAAGTCTCGAGTAATCTTCGTCGATCATCGTTTTTATTGCCGCCTTGTATACTAATTTTATACCCTTTTTACGTTTTCACCGCTCCGCCAAGGGTTTTCTTAGCAGCTCGTCACCACTTCGCTCTGTTTTTCTTTCCAATGGAAGGAATGAGTTATTTTTTAATACCCTTGGCGCCAGATGAATTTATATCACCATTTTAAATTCACTCTCATGTAGTCGACTTTTGCCGTGTAACGCGAAAGGGTTACCAACCGAGGCTAGATCTACTCACGCCTCTAATAACTTAGGCAATTGAGACGGCCGTTAGCAGTTTGTCAGTAATACTCATAGCAAACACCGGCGATAGAATCGCGAATCGATCGGGATATTGCACGTTTATAGCAAACGTGTACTCACGCCACCGATGCATCGTGGAAATCGGAAAAGTTATGCGAGTTCCGCGTGCTGCTCGTTCATTAATCCACGCCGCCCACGCGGCAATTACACCGACGTGTATCGAAAATAAGATTCACTGTTTCGCCAAATTATGATCAATCACTCTTCGTGGATCCTAAATTTGTTTATCGATCCCGGACCTGAATAACATCAAGCACGATTCGTTTAAAAGAGTGACGTTGTGAAATTTCGGCAATTATAGACGGAAAAAGAATCAGTTCTTTTTCAATATCGAAGGGAAACGCATCGGATGCGCACGATATTCGACACATGCACCCGTTCCTCCGGCACGATATTATGTGTTGCATGAACGCACAACGTCGCCATGTTGCGTGTTTTGTTTGCGCGTCTCTTTTGTCGCGTGTATGTCCAGCTGCGCGTCGAGAACGCGGCTGCCTCATGCAAATGAGGCGCACAATGTACCTCAATAGCCTCCGTGTATTTATATATGCTATCCGGTTCATTATTTTCCACCGAGTACTGTTTATTTCTGCCTTGTATTTCTCAGCGAACGAAACACGCTCTTTCGTGTTACGAATAAAACAGCATCGCCGATGGTTTATACGGCGAAGTTTATCTTAATTCGTCCGTTCCGTGAAGAGAAGCAGCTGTGTCCCATGGTTAGCGCCGTTACAATCGTGTAACGATACCAGCCGGAGGAATGTTAATTAATTTCATCGATTTCCGGCGTGATTACATAAAAATTCACGAGCTAATTGATCTTGATCTCTGTGAAAATCGAATTTAATCGATGTACAATCCACCCGCGCAGAAATTCATTTTAAATAGAGTTGTAAAGAGGTGTAAAGAGTTGCGCGATTGTGGTATGAGAATAGAAATTCGCCTAATTATACCGTGACGAAGTAATTCCAACTAAAATTAGCACAGCTGCATTATCGCGACCAACTTTTGCAGCTGAATATACATATTTGGCGAGTTTGTAACATCGGCGGCAATTTGCGGAATTCTTGAAATTGCGAAATATTTTAAATCGTAGTGTTACGAATTCGGGGTAGAGATAAGAAATTTTACTAAAATTAACGGTACACTAAAGTGGATGAAAGTGAGAACGATCGGAAATGATAGTAGGGGAAGTAAAGGACAGATTCTCGAGTGTTGTGGACGAATGTTAATATAATAGTGGGAGAAATATCCACGAAGTAAAGAATGATATAATAGCCGGCCCGTAAGGGATGCGTCTGCGAGCGAGAGGGCGAGCCACGAAGACGAAGTGTTCTCATTATACCGGTTGATTTATGCGCGTGCCACCTCGCCGTCGGAGGATTCTAGGTTAGGAATAAAGTTAAAAGAAAAATAAGGCTTACGGGGTGCAAAGTCGAGAAAGAGCGGAGGGGTGTAGGTCGCGAGAGCCGCGTGGTGGTCCGCGGAATATATTACAAAAATAAGCCCGCCATCCTGGCGTGAAGGAGCATCGGAAAAAAAAACTTTTAAACTGCGGATTCGCAAAAGATCGATGCCTCCTTTCTTTGCAAACGCTCTTGCTTCTTTACTCGCTCGCAGGAGGAATAAATATTTTCTCGCGAAACTCGTTCGAGGGTGAAGCTCTCGACATCCTTAACGAGTCTTTTGCTTTGCAAGAAAATTGCATGATTTCATTGCATCTCTGCGAGTCACTCGAATTTGCATGGTATTGTTTCTATTTAAATCTGGGAATTCAATTTTAATTCCTTCTCTTTGAGCTGATATTTATTCGTAGAACAAAAGGGAACGTGTTTGATTATTTTAATGATACATTGTACTAATTGAAGGTTCTTTTTGTTCCAGGGACACATCGGTGAGAATCCGTTCGACAACGGTTCGTGGGGAAAGGAGCAGTTTCAGCCATCCACGGTTCCTTGGCAGCTGAATCCGCGCGGCCACGCTCGTCCCAGTGTGAGTACTCGAATCAATTTCTAGATATTAGGCAATTGCGAATCAAATACTTGAAGCTTAAAATTTGATAAAAATCATCTCATAGAAACTCGAGTATTATACAAACTCTTTGAAATACCTTGTATTTTTACATTTGAAGATCGGTCATTTGATAAGCAACAACCTAATATTTCACTGTTAGTCCGTTCTGTATCCGAGCTGCAAGAAAAAGCAAATGAAGAGGAGTAAAAGAAAGAGGGATAAAAGAGGGTGGGAAAGGGACGGGGAGCGTAATTGTAAAAGGAGAACGCGCGAAGCAAAAGCCACTTTGGCTACAGTGGCGAGGAGAGGAGAATACATATAACGCGCAGTCAGAATCCTGTCCGACACAAGGGCTCGGTGTCTGAAATTTGTAATTCCGGCCGGATAAGAATACTGTCCCTCGGCGGAGGGTGAGTAACGACCGCGGAAAAAGAAATCCGGCCACTCATTGTGTCCGCAGGTAGGAAAAATGCTAGAGGGGCATCGCTCGCTGCCTTCTCGGAGCATTTTCTCTTTTCTCGCCAGTAGACACGGCCACTACGTCGTCGTCGTCGCCAACCACCGGCCAACCCCCTTCCTTCTTTCGGCCTCGGCTCCGTTGAAAACCACCCTCTTACTCGCGCGGCTCGTTCCGGCCCGCACCAACTCGTCCTGTCACCCGGTATTTATAATACGCTTTGTTTTCCCTCGGCTATTTGTCTTGGCCTCTCGGTTCCTTCGCTAACGTTATTATCTCGCGTTTTATTTTTATTTAATTCCAGCCGGTTCTAACCCCGCGTTTCTACGCTCACTCGAACGACCACCACTCCGACGACGCCCGGCGCCGTCGTTACTTATCCGTCGACGACCCTTAACGAGGGAAACGTGTCCTACGCTTTAGGGAAAACTTTGAACTCACCGTTCGCTAACTTTACTTTTTTCTTCTCCTTCCCTCTATCATTCCTCTTTCTTTATTTCCCTTCGAATCCCTTGCAATTAACAAGGACAAACGCGACGTCTATTGGCTTTGGCGATTTTTTTTTTCTTTTCTTTAAGTTACCTTTCTCAAAGCAATTTGATATATCGTTATTTAAAAGAATTCTCGCGATACAGCGAGGAGGCCGTGACGTAAAGCGTTGTATTGTAAGGCAAATAATGCGCGTGCCGGTAAGGTTAAATAAACTCGGAGTGACGTGCAATCTAAATTGTACGCGATACGAAAGAACGAGGAACGTTGCGGAGCGTTACACGCAATTTCCAAGATGCTTAACTTAACACGACATCGTTGTATTTTACCAGCGATTTACCTCAACCATCCGAACGCAATATTCGAGCATCGCGCATTGAATTTTATCGAATCGGTATAGGTATCGTGGTACGCCTTATTGCGATACAATGTCTTCATTCACCGCTGCTCATACGCACCGTGCAACTCGGTGTAAAAAAAATAAACCCACGTAAAGAAAAAAAAAAAATAAATAATGTTTATCTTGGCTTTTACGTGCGATAGGGAAGCAAAGTCGATGTCGCCCACGCACGTAGAGCCGTCTCTAGGAAAAAACCATTCGTGCCACTTTGCACGTACGTGTGTGTCAAGCTTGTTTATTGAAATCGTTTGCCGTGTCAGTACGGAAACCAATACACGGAAACGAAATACGTACGTGTCGTTGCACGCGACTCGTTTGAGATCGCTCGTGCAACACGATCAACGGTTACGCGAAATTTATTTTCTATTCTCAGTTTCGAACGATGGACTGTAAACTATATGAAATGTTATTGAAGGCGAATCGAGCGACCGTGAGTTTCATTCCATAGTATAAACCGTGTTCTTAGCACTGGCTGTAAGATGCATACTTGATACGGTGAAAAGTTAACAGTTTGACTGCCGCGGTAGAAATGGACAATGATATCGATCGTTTTGAAAATTAATTTCCCAAGAAAAAGGTGAAACGTCTCTGTTACCACGGTGCACGATAATTCGTCTAACAGAAGGAGGTGTTCGTGTCGGGGAAATTATGCATGCGAGAAGGAACACGTATTCGCGGCTTTCTGGGAAAGCTGACAAGCGCACACGTGGGGCGACGCGATTCCACAATACGAACGTTTATGTTGCATCGACGTGTACGAAAAAGGCACCTCGAAGTATATTTGTTCGTCGCGCTTATGAGATCATCGAGAGCAGGCTTGGATACACTGACGTCAATAGTTTCGATCATTTCCAATCCGAATGATCCGTTGCTCCAAAAATGTAATTTATGATCAGGGATCCTAATTATAAAATTTTCATAACAGCAATGGTAAAAAAGAAGAAAAAAGAAATAAATGTTTTGCACGATATTGGGGAAATTTAAAGGGGTCGAAACGGCACGGTTCTCTCCGAATATAATCCGCGCGCTACGTAGCTGGTGGCCAATATGAATCGCAGGAAAAATCAGAACCGGATGGGGGCGGAGGATCTTAGCAACCCCAGTGGGTTTTAAGATATGCACGGCACAACGCACGCTTTCCTAGCGAGACTATTTTAATACGAACGAGGGGTGAGTAGGACGGTACGCTGAGAGAGACTCGTAGAAGATCTACTTCTTGATTACAGAACTTTTTACCTAATTACATAACATTGTTACCATTTACAAAGTCGCTGCCAGATGTACGTTGCCTGACTACTAATTAGGATTCCCGATTAGCGGTCGCCCGAGATCGCGCTCTGTATTCGATAAATCTGCAAAGATTCTTCAAAACCCATTGCTTGGTTCATGAATTTTTCATTTTCTTTGAATTTCTCTGGAACATGCTTTCACCTTGGTAATCATACAAAATTTGGTAAATTTGCAGAAGGATTTAGAATTATTTGAATTTCACAATAGTCGAGTTTATTCGGCAAGATTCGGCATTCTTATCGGAAAGAGGTGAACTCGTGAAAAGACAGTCATGCGCAAGGGACGCGTTTCCGACGATGCAGACATTAAGACGTCTGGTCCTCGACCTCCGTTTTCCATCCCTTGCCTCCCCTTTTCATCCCTCTTCGCCCCGGTTAGGTGAACACGGCGACCCCTTAGACGAGGCTGGTTTACCCCGTCTTCATTGTCCTCTAATTCTCATCTGATCCTCACATTACGTAATTTTCTCTTTATTATTTTATAATTCCTTGCGACTCGCCGAGCCACGCTTGTCCTCCGCGTTCCTCCCGACTTCTGCCTTTGCACGAACTCATCCCACGCCACGCATACTAATGCATTCCCGCATTTATTAATTATTCCCCGCTAGTTACCGTGGCTGTTCGCCACCCCCTCCCCGACGTCGTTGTTCCTTCGCAATGATAGATTAAACCTCCTAGATTCGCCGACGGACAATGTACCTCACGTACCCGAAATTCCAGGCTATCCTCTCTTATCTGCACGGATTTTTCGCTCGTTTGTGTCAGACGGTTTATTAGCCCTCTTTCTCTCTCACTGGTTTGGTTAAAGCAACGGAGATTCATATCTGTACTGTTAACCTTTTGCGGTCTCAGTGTGCCATAGGTTCATTGCTGAAGTAGTTTCATTTAGAATTTGATAAGAATATCGATGAAAACTTTATACAGTCATTTTCATCAATCCTTAAGCTTCGAATTGATATGTCATAAGTGTCCTTTTACGATACTTTTATCTCATCGAATCGTCTCAGACGATTTATTAAAATCTCCAAGTAGAAAATCAAAATATTCCAGGTAAAACCTGTACTCGCAATTCTCTGACCATATCAGATCAATTTTGTAGAAATTAAAAATTGTTCGACGAATCGATGCCCACCTTTCTTCTCCCACTCGCTGCTCCTACCAGTATTCGATAGCTGGCAAACGGATTTTTTTTACATGGAACCTGTGCCCAATACCTCCGGGAATTTAATTTCCTTTTAACGTCGGGGCGATTACTTTTCATGGCAATCGCAAATGTTTAATTGGCTCGGTAGAGAGGCAGCCTAGTGGCTACATTAATTGCACCGGATCGTCGGGGGTGGTTCGGGGGTTAGGTCGGGAGCAGGTGGGTGTCCAACGGTGGATCAGGTGAACAGAGGGGTGGTGGGTGAAAAAGGCAGCTTGCATTGAATGCTAAACAAAAGCTAATTTATATCCGGAGGTTGGGACTATGCCGGAGATCGGGAGATGAATGGTTATACTTCTTGCATACCAAGCGAGCTGCCTGCTCCTGAAGGACTACAGAGTTAAAGATCCCGGGGATGTTCCCTTTGGGGTAGTCGGTTGTATCCTCGAATCTCTCATTCACGCCAAAATGGACTACACTTTGAGGGTTCGCGATCAAATTACCTGGTTATCACCTACTTTATTTTTATTAAAAAATATTTTTATAGAAAGCGTATCAGAAAAATAGAAAATTAAAAATAATTTAAGTAAACGTCTAGGGTGGAATTAAAAATGTAGAATGAAAAGGCGGTGGTAAATGAGTAGCGGGGATATTCCCTTTAGGATCGCCGCCCTTAAAATTCGCCCGAGAACGGCCGTTCAATAATCATACATCCCCTTGAAGAACTCGGCGTCTCCGTGCGTTACCCTTTCGATAATGAACGAACTTGCTGCTCGAAAATCAGCAGACATCGTCAAACAAAGTTGAACCTTGTGCGATCTGTGAATTGCATTTCCACCCTGAAAAAATTCAATTTCTATTTGCATGCCTGTCGGCTATTGATCATGAACTATCTCGAAAGTATCTTCAGAATCTACAGCCGTCCGATGATACGATAGTTTCTCCGGATAGATAAAAAAAAAAAAAGAAAGAATCTTCTGTAACGACGTCCCCGATGTAATCAGAAGACAGTTGACCACGAAATGAGATTTGTTGAGGCTACTAGTTTTTTCCTCGGCCCGATCGAAATTCTATTCCCTTGACTTTCCGTTCTGCGTATCATGAAATTTTAATCTTGTTGAAAAAGTTTCGTTCTTCGATGATCCTCGGGAGGGGGGGTGAATGAGGCGAGGGTTGGAAAAAGAAGCCTGTTGATTCCGA